TCATAGAGTAGCCATAATCGACTGTGTCGTCCCAAAAAGTAACGTGCAAGTAGAACCTCACTTGTGACTTTCCAGGCAACTGGCTAAGCGAAAAGCAGATCACCGAGAACTCGCACTTTCGCAGAAACGTTCCACGTTGACCATATGGGCGGGGACATGAAAGGAGACAGTTGACCATTGAGTCTTATTTATTAGGGTCTTCATCTCTTATAAGACGATAACAGTCTTCGCTGATAGTATGGGTGGAGAGCGTCAACCTTCGCGTCCTTCTCATTGGGATGCCGCTCGTCTTAGAACTGTAAGAAGGGGGGGGAGGGCGTCAACGAGGAAAGCTGAATAGTAGGCCTGACTGCACCCACACGAAAAGCACAGACTGTGCCTTCAAAGGGGGATGAGAAAGTGGGCATAACCCTACGTAAGGCAAGAGGATGAGCTACCATGGCCACACAGGGTGGGTTTGACCCGCTGCGTATCCGCCCCCTCCAGTATGGCCCAAAAAGAAGCGCGCTAGTTCCCGTGCTAACGATGACGTAATGAAACCGATCGATGCGGTTATACAGGTTGTCCTACAGCTAGTCCATTTGAGCATTAGTGATAAAATGGCACGTCGTGCCGGTGGGCAAAAATTTTGCAAAATACGGCTTTCACCCCTCCGAGATACTCTCTGGTACGATCCCCTCACCATCCTACCTACCATACATACCATTTCCTGGAGTTCTTCCAATCTCTACCACTTTTTCACAGTTTTTTTTACTTCTCCATTTCTTCCCCAAAAGCGCTGTCGAGCGAGGGAGGAGGGAAATAAGTAGTGCATGAGGAACTGGAAAACCCGAGGAAAGTCAGCGAAAACATCTTTCTCTGAGACAAACTGACCCACTCCTTTCCCTCCAGCGAACAAATACGCCCCCCCCCCTCGCTGAGGATCCCCAACGTACGGCGCGCTCCGGTGATGAAATTCGGAAATCGATCGATCTCGCTGAACGTTTAATAAACGTGCGATAAGGTTATCAGTGATAAATAGTAAAAACTTTGGGAAGCAGACTGAATCATTTAAACGATAACGGGGGTTTATTTGCGTGCAGTCGTGATGATAAGCGATAAGATATCGCCCATTAAAGACAACACCACGCGAAAAGTACGATAGAGCCGAGATATTCACGAAAAAAAACGTTCCATAGTTATGGATGATAGGATTACGGTAAAAAAGGAAGCGATTGTTTGATCATGTGGGCTTTATGGTGAACAATGGGGGGACAATAGTGCCTGCAGCTGCCATTGGGCACGAGTTTTTAGTGACATCGGCTGAATAAATTGCTGCTTTCATATGTTTCATTATAGGCAAATATGACAAGGGACACGTGGAAAATCGAATTTGTAAAAAATCGTACTTTCTAGGGATCACGCCCACGGCTGTGGAACGGAATAGGCAGATGGGTCAATTCACGCTCCCTCAAGGCACCTCACCCGTTGTGGAAATTACAATGGATGGGGTCTTATTTCGTTGATGAGGAGGAGAGTCGTTTCTGTCTTGAAATAAGTCCATTTGGATTCTTCCCGTTGCACGTAGCCCATCCCTCGCCCGACGCCGAAATTTTCGGGAAATTTACTGAGGATTTGCTGGGATTTTATGGGATGATAGGTATGCCGTAGAGGTTGTCGAATTGGGGGATAGAATTAGGGGAGAGGAGGTGGTCGTATTCAGCAGAAGTTTTCCACTGTTGATGTGCCCTGGTATATGCTAACAGTCGTCTGGTCTACCAGCAATCAGGTCATGCTCCAGAATTTCTAGCATCTCGCAGATCCCTCAAATTGCTACACCTCCTAATTGTATGTCGGAGATCCTCTCCTCGCGGAGTATGAACGCGGCCTGAGCGGTTTGGCTCGGAAGGGCTACAGTTAGCTCATTAGCTATGAATGTGGAGATGGTTTCTGTTTGCCGCGTAACTCGGATTTCCTGACCAGCTCTGCACAGGTGTATATGCGACTGAAAAAATGCAGCACGGGAATCAATCTCGTATTTCAAATGTTGGTCTGCGGAGGCGGGGAGGGGGAATTGCTTGCCGGGTCAGCATTGCCCTGAGAGCCCGCGAAGTTCTCCCAAAGGGACAGATTCAGCCTTTCTGGTTGTTTGGATTTTTCCTCTGGGTCAGCAAGGTTTTTTCTGCAGGCAAGCGAAGCTGAACTTCTAGGTATGATGGCGTCATAGTTGATTCCGCGAAGTTTTGAGGCTCGATGGCTCTCAAGCAATCTCTCGGCACCCATGTGCGGCTTCCAGGACACCCGAGGAAAGGTTTGGACAGGACCGGTTTACATCGCAGAACACATCCCTGCACAGACTTACTGAAAGTTCCAAGAAATAAAAACCGGATGATGGCGTCATCAATCCCCTTAAAATGTGATGACATAATTAATACCCTCATACTGATGAAAGAAACCAGGTAAAATTACTTACAAATTGTGTAAAGGCTGCTGGTAGAGGTCGTTTCAGTGATTCCTTGTCGGCTTCTATTGGCAATGAGCCACGATCGAACAATTTCATAAAATCCTCTTGAGCACTGAAAATCAATATATCGATTGACTGGCCCATGCACTAACAAGAAATGAAATACAATTCAATGGAATCAAGGAAAAAATCAAAAATAAATAAATAAAATATTAACAAGATTAGAAAGAATCAAATGATAAAGTTTGAAGTCCAATTTACAATAAAAACAGCGCAACAGCGCAAAGCAACAAAGCTCTTTTTTATTCTGCCTTCCTATCTAGGGGGTTCGGGGACGGCGGGGGTCGGCATTTTGCCCTACCGCTGCTTTCCATTGACAAGCCATTAATAAAAGATTTGTTCACTTGTCAACTCTTGTGAAGAACACCTGTGTCAACTCTTGTAAAGTGCAACATGCCCCCCCCAAGCGGAACTGCGCCAAAAAACCAAAAAAATGTTGGGGCCTCTTAAAAAACGTCCCTTGTTGATAATTGGCCACAATTCCCGTCTCTTCTTATAGTAAGTTTTCTGCCCGGTTTTTGTTCATTTGAGAAAACCTGTATGATTATTTCGTAATAGTACTAAATTTACTTTTGAGTATCCCCTATTATCTTCTGTTCACCATTATTACTGAACCTAAATGACCCCTTTTGCCCCAAACAAGTATCCCAATTATCAAGTATGCATTAGGAAGGGCGTAAACAAGCGTTGATAATTGCGGGTGTAAATCTATGAATAATTAAGTGGTTGGTTGAAAAAAACGAGGATGGATATTCTGCCAGTTCCTGCACCGTGCCCGTCAGGCGTTTTCGTCCAGGATGGATGCCGCTCCGAGGGGTTACGCGTCCCGGGACATGTTCCAGGTCAAAGAGGTTTCAACAAACTGCCGGGGGGAGGGGGAGGTCTTCCCTCGTATTCAGCAAAATCCACCATCGCTGACTTACATTTCATACACAGAGATAGAGAGGGCGTGGCAGGGCAATCCACTAGACTACGAAGCAGGATGCGTTTTCCCTGAGAAATATCCCTTGAGACAACTTTCATTCTGCCGTAATCTGTACACAGATG